GGGTATAGCTCGCTCACACCAAGGACCTATCCACGTCATCATTTACCCAGAATGCTTTGTGTGTAAATAAATTGGCTCTATCCGTGTTAAAAATAATTTTTTTAATTATAAAAACTAAACATCCTATGGTATTTTTACAGTATTTATTTTACAGTTAAAATATGTTTATCAAATAAAGTCTAATGTTACAACTAATCATGATCCCTTTAATTTGTAGTCTGCCAACCTTTTTTTAAAAGTGCTGCCAGGGAGTGACAGACAGAGGTCTGTTGTTATGGCGGCCGTCATGAGTCACTGCCAGCAACTTTACCAGCTAGTTTGTATTATTTTGTTCACACTTCTTACAGGGTTTGTACTTCTTGTACTTGTTGTTTTGTGAAGCTGTCGGCTTCTTAACGCCTTCTTTTTGCTTCCTTAGTGGCAGGTCCATCTACCTCGTTGACCACCATGTCCCTGCTGGCCAAGAACACGCCGTCTCGCTCTGAGATGACCAAGGTGCAGCAGCAGGTGAAGGTGAATGGGGCGTCGATGACGGTGATGCGACGCGAGATGCAGGAGATCCGCGTCAAGCAGCTGGAGCAGCAGAAGCAGCTGCAGGACCAGGAGCAGAAGCTGCTGGAGCAGAGCCAGGTGATCGGCGAGCAGAACGCCCGCCTCGCCGAGCTCGAGCACAAACTCCGCGAACTCATGGACAGCAGCGCCGCCGTCATGGGAGGGTCCCGGCCCCCCACGGCGGTCCCCTCCACGTCCAGCTCCGCCGCCGTGTCTTCCACCGTCGCCGGCGCGTCGGCGGGCGACGGCTCGGCCTCGCCCAGAGAACTGAAGGACGAGGGCAGCTCGTCGCTCAAACGCAACAGAAAGAGCGCGGACCTTCCACGACAATCCAAGCGGCTGCGCAGCAGGAAATGAGGGCCGCGCGTCGCTTGAGTTCTCTCCTTGGTTTCKAGTTTTGACTGACCACGCTATTTCACGTCCCACCTCCAATCGCTCTCCATCACGTGCACCGTCTCACCCGCACCGCGATGCCAACGCCTCCTGTTGTCTCGGATCTGATGAATGTGAAACCGCCAACCTGGAAGTCGTCGGCTCAAACACTGAAGCCAGAACAGATYGGCCTGGACTTTGCACAATATTGACAGGGTCAACGTTTGATTGTCACTGAAGGAGCTGTTGAAGCTGTTATGTTGTATATTTTTTTCCTCATCAACAAACGTCAGGAAAACATCCAAAAGTTGCACTAAAGCATACAACAGCTTATAAGTACAGTAGCAGATAAGTGATGGGCACAGCTGTTATTCAAACAGAATGAGTGACAGAGCTGACTTGATTAGCTAAGAACGTTTGACAGGGCAACAGTGTACATGGAAGAAATTCAGACTATGCTGAGTGTTCATAATGAAGGTAGATGTCACATTGTTTTGGTGACAGTTCCAGTATTTTTGCATCTAGTTTCTGCACAATGATCATACCCTGTGGGACCGAGGAGGGGTTTTAATCAGGCTTTATTTAGACCAGCGGTCCCCAGTCCTTGTCCTCAGGCACCCACAGCTCTGCATGGTTTTTCATGTCCAGCAATGATTCCTCCTCAGCTCGTTATCAAGGTCAGCAGAAGCCAAAAAGGACTCTTTAATAAGACAGTTTGGACATTTTAAAGTGGGTTTTATWAGGGGGAAAAAGTTATTTTACCTGTTGTAGATGGCTCTCTTGTTTGTCAGATTTCAGTCTGATCGGACTGATGAGCTAAAGGCTAGTCTGAATAGAGAAATGAATTCAGCCTGCAAAATTTCCTGGAAATGCTAYGTTTTTTCCCTTTTTTTAAATTAATTTTTGCATTACACGTTTTGCCTTTTGTGCTGGGGCAGAAATATGATTCCTGCCAGATTTGACCTGAAGCTGAAGTGCTACAGCTAGCTGCTGCTGCTAGCTGCACTTGCAAATAGATACAACTGTTTCTGTCAATGACCATGTAATGCAAACATTAGGTATTTTACCCTACAACAGGTAAGATTATTCATAGCATTTCCACAGAACCCCACTTCTGAACGGCCAAAATATCCCTTTAAATTTAGATCAGCTGTGATGAAGCAGTAAACCGTCTAAAACCCAGTGAGTAGTGGGATACGAGGACCAAGTTTGGGGAACACCGCCGGACAAAAGCATTAGTCGTACGCTTTCTGTCGCRTGTTATCTGGTTTTCACAAACCAGGTTCAGCTCAGCGTTGTCGGCGACTAATCAAACAGTCTACACATACTTGACAACTCAGCMCTGTGACTACCTCTGCTGTCAACTCTGAGGCGTCAGCAGTCCCACCTATGAAACTGAAGCTCAGCAAAGGCAAATAGGTTCTAGCCTGAAAGGCAATGCAGAAAGGGGCTTTAGAGCAGTGGTTACCAAAGTTGGGGTCGGGACCCCTTTGTGGGTCACAAAACATCAAGTAAGGGTCCCCAGATGATTTCCAGACATTGGAATATTTTCACCAAGATTATTGCATTTTTTTAACAATCATAAATTAATGCAAATAGTATCTTAGTTATCAGGTTTGTTTATATTGTTGTTATTCCTATGTCTAACAGCGTTATTAGCAAAGTTTGCATACATAAACGTAATATCTGGGGTCAAGAATGTCTGCAACTTTTATTTTGTGGGTCGGAAGCAAAAAAGTCTAAAAACCACTGCTTTAGTGTACGACATTCATATAAATGCTAATAAAAATKACTAATGAATCAACTCCTGCAATACAGGAAAAAAAATTGGCTGGTAATTAAGACGTCACATAGCATTATTTCTTTGTGAAATGATAAAGGCAGATGACTCGGTGCAGGAAAGGACAGTGTTTAGGCAGCAGTAGACYTGTCGGTCCTCTCCAAGGGAGTAACATGAACGTTAACGACGTCTCCTGGGTTTCAGTCAAAACAGACAGAGATCAGTCCTCTGATCCTCAGATGAGTGTCATAAACCCTCTCAAGCCCCGTCTTAACATTTACACCACCTGTCCACGCCTCACATTCACAACCTCATGGTTTTTCTTCTTCTGTAATAAATAAAAAATTAACTGGACATTATGTGAAACAATGCTGCCATCAACCATTTTTAGTGACTTAATCCAGACGCATTTCAGAAATCTGTCTCTTCCTAAAAATGACACGTGAGTGAAACTTCACCAACTTCCATGAACGGCTGCCGCCGGCAGGAAGTGCGAGAGTGGATGTTTTTGACCCGTGTGTCACGTCACTGTTGTAAGACCAGGTTAAAAAGTGACGTTTTAAAAACTCAGGCCTTGCACAAAGTCAAACTGAACTGTCAGAAAGCGAAAGCGGTTTGCAGTGATGGTGGGTCGGGGGGTGATGAAATGTGGTCGGGACAACAAGGCTGCCTGTGCTCCCCTCTCCTGTACAAACTTTTCTTTGCCTTGTTTTGCTAGTTTAGCTATGAAATCATTGCGTGGCTGCATTTAAGAAAAAAAGAAGTATTTTTGTTGTTTTGATGACCTGAACAACTCATGGCATGAATCTTTTGGAAATCCACTTGTGTGTATTATAGTTACACTGGGCAGCAAAAACTTGCTATGTGATCTAGTGGCTTATTGAGAGAAATTGTACTGTAATCTTCATGTACTTAAAAGTTGTAGATTAATTATTTCATGTACGTAAACAAGAAAAAAAAACATCTTTTGTGTTGGCCAGTTTGGGCCCAATGAGATTTTTGTTGCACATATTACTGTTACAAATGTACAAAATCAAGCCTATTAAATCTCATCAAAGTAGGTCTGTTACTGTTCCGCTCATTTTTCATCTTAAATGGAATTAATTATAGCCATTTTTATGTTTGCTAAGGTTGATTTACTGTGGTGGCCTTCATTTGTTGTGTTGGCTCCAAATATGAATCAGGTGTAGAGATACGTCCTGTAATTGTTTCCTGAAAGTTTCATTAAAATGTATCCAGTGGTTCATGAGAAACATGGAACACATTATGGTAGAAAATAGGAAAAACTTTCTGATGCTTTCTCCCTTAAAATAAGTTATAATAACTCCAACAAACAATAAAAAATCTTTCTATTAGGTAACATTGTACTCGACAATTCATTTTTTTT